CTGCTCTGGCCATGTAAGACATGCTGGCTTCCCCTTCTCACTTCCACCATGACTGTATGTTTCCTGAGGCCTCCCTAGAAGCGAAGCAGATGCCAGAATCATACAGCTTATAGAACCATAAGCCAATTAAACCTCTTTTCCTTATAAATTATCCAGTCTCAGCTATTTCTTTATAGCAATGTGAGAACAAACTAATAGTTAGAAAAGGCAATACAGGCTGCGCGTGATGGCTCATGCCTGTAATCCCAGCACTTTGGGAGGCAGAGGTTGGTGGATCATGAGGTCAGGAGATTGAGACCATCCTGGCTAACATGGTGAAACCCCATCTCTACTAAAACACAAAAATTAGCCAGGCGCAGTGGTGCGTGTCTGTAGTCCCAGCTACTTGGGAGGCTGAGATACTTGAATCTCTTGAACCCAGGAGATGGAGGTTGCAGTGAGCCAAGATCACACCACTGCACTCCAGCCTGGCAACACAGCAAGACTCCATCTCAAAAAAAAAAAAAAAAGAAAGAAAAAGAAAACACAATAGAGCTTCCATCTGGCTCTCTTTCTTGGGACATTCACCTTAGTACCCAGTCACCATGCTGTGAGAAAGTACAGAGCCACATGGAAATGTCATTTGTAAGTATTCTGGTCACAGACACAGCAAAAGTCCCAGGAAACAGGTAGTACCAACAGCCAAAGAGTGAAGGTGATACAGTTTGGATTTGTGTCCCCTTCTAAATTCCATGTCCAGTGTTAATCCCCAATGCTGGAGGAGGGGCCTGGTGGGAGGTGATTGGATCATGGGGCAGACTTCTCCCTTGCTATTCTTGTGTGAGTGAGTTCTCACAAGGTCTGGTTGTTTAAAAGTATGTAGCACCTCCTCCTTCACTCTGTTCTTCCTGCTTCAGCCATGTAGGATGTACCTGCTTCCCCCTTGCCTTCTGCCATGATTGTGTTTTTTTAAGGCCTCCCCAGCCAAGCTTCCTGTACAGCCTGCAAAACTGTGAGCCAATTAAACCTCTTTTCTTTATATATTACCCAGTCTCGGGTAGTTCCTTATGGCAATGCAAGAACAAACTAATACAGAAGGAGACTTTGGATTCCAGGCTGCCAGCCTTCAAGCTATTTCAGCCTTGCCTAAATTTCAAATTCATCAGTAAAATAAACATTGCTATTTTAAGCCACTACCTTGTGGGATGATTTGTTATGCAGGTATACTTAACTGGAATACACATCATGTGTGCTCACTGTAAAAATTCATTGAGCTGTATAATCACAATATATACACTTTTCCTTAGGTATATTATAATTAGGTTTGAGTAAAGATTTGAAATTAAAATCATGTCATGGAAATAAGCTCATATTTATCAAATTTTAGATGGATTTTATTGAGAAGTTTTATATAAATTCAGCATTCCATATCATTCCTAATACTTTGCTTGTTCTTACAATGACATAAAGAAAATGTAATAAATTTTTTTGCCACACCTCATATAGACACTTTCTCATGCCCATCAATTTACCCTCACACATTGCCTAATTCTCATCATTTACCATGTATTGATTTTTTAAAAGTTTGGACACTGCTGTAGCAGACATCTCCCTAGCACTATTTCTTCTTCTTCTGTTAATAGGCCCTCATTGTCCTTTGGGAAACTACCTCCCCACTAATCAATCAAGGTCTTGTCTTTTGTCTTCTCTTGTCTTTTCTCCTTTTTTCTTTGAGACAGTCTCATTCTGTTGCCCACGCTGGAGTGCAGTATCATGATTAAAGCTTACTGTAGCTTTGACCTCCTGGTCTCAAGCAATCCACCCACCTTAGCCCTGAAGTTGCTGGAACCACAGGCACATGCCATCACACCCAGCTAATATTTTTGATTTTTAGTAGAAATGAGGTCTCACACAGGCTGGTCTATAAGTCCTGGGCTCAAGCAATCCTCTTGCCTCAGCCTCCCAAAGTGCTATGATTACAGGCATGAGCCACCATGCCCAGCCATTTTTTCTTTTCTTCAATTTTCTTTAAATTAATTCTATTACATCTCACATCCTTCCAATAAATTTTAGCTTTCTTGAATTCTATTATAACCCCCCTCCTTCTGATAAATTTCCTATTTAAATTAACAATATTTGGTCTCTAGTCCTTGCAACCAAAGAACACTTATTGATACAGAACTCCAAGTGCTAGCATACTGTCTGACATATGGTTGATGATTGACAATAAGAAAAGTGTTTATAAAATGGTATTGGGCAACTAATTTTTGACAAAAGCACAAAAGCAATCCAGTGGAAAAAGTACAGGCTTTTCAAAAAAAAAAAATTGCTACAATGATTGGGAATCCATACAACAAATATGAACTTGGATACCTGCCTCAAACTCTATTAAGAAAGTTATCTAAAATGCATCATAGATCTAAATGTACAGCCTGAAAATGTAAAACTTTTATAAGAAAACATAAGAAAATTTCTTTGTGAGCTTGGGTTGGGCAAAAATATCTTAGAAATAACACTAAAAATGCAATCTGTAAAAAAATAATTAAACTTTATTAAAAGTTAAAACCTCTCTTCAAAATACACTGTTAAGAGAATGAGGGCCAGGTGCGGTGGCTGAAGCCTGTAATCCCAGCACTTTGGGAGGCTGAGGTGGGCAGATCACCTGAGGCCAGAAGTTCAAGACCAGCCTGGCCAACATGGTGAAACTTGGCATCTACTAAAAATACAAAAATTAGGTGGGGCATGGTGGCTCACACCTGTAATCCCAGCACTTTGGGAGGCCGAGGTGGGTGGATCACCTGAGGTCAGGAGTTTGAGACTAGCCTGGCCAACAAAGTAAAACCCCGTTTCTACTAAAAATACAAAAATTGGCCTGGTGTGGTGGCACACACCTGTCATCCCAGCTACTCGGGAGGCTGAGTCAGGAGAATCACTTAAACCTGGGGAGGTGGAGGGTGCAGTGAGTCAAGATCATGCCACTGCACTCCAGCCTGGGCAATACAGCATCACTCCGTCTCAAAAAAAAAAAAAAAAAATTAGCCAGGTATACTGATCTGTAATCCCAGCTACTTGGGAGGCTGAGATACCAGAATATCTTGAACCCAGGAGGCAGAGGTTGCAGTGAACCGAGACCTCACCACTTAACTCCAACCTGGGTGACATATCAGGATTCTGTCTCAAAAACAAAAAGGCAGGGTTGGGGGGCCTTAGGTAAGCAGAAACTTAAGGGTGATGGGCATACTCATTTGATCATAGTGATGGTTTCAAGAGGGTATACATATGTCAAAACTGATAAAAATTATACACTGTAAATACTGCTCCGTGGGTCCAGTGGGATTGGGCCCGGGTGCTGGAGCTGCCAGGGCTCCCACCACGGCGGGTACCACGGAGTCCGTGCCAGAGACCAGAACTCAGCCACGGGAGGCCGAGTTTAATTTCTAGTTAATTCTATGCCAATTATACTTCAATGAAGCTATCTTAAAAAACCCCGCAACTCACATGTCAGATTTTGAAGAGAGTGGAAAAGATGCAGAATGAAAATTTCATTTAAAAGCCTCAGTGAAGTTTGTGAATTATCCAAGTATTCAAGGAATTCATGCTTCCTCCAGCTAGCTGAGACTCGCAGAGTTTAATGAGCAATCTCAATACTATTCTTCCAGAAATGGTATCATCCACCATATTATGGCTGTTTTCAGGAAGACAATGACCTAATCAGTATAAAATGAACTCCATGTCTTGTGAGAGATTTATAATTAAACACATAATTCACATTTGCAAACATTTTTAAAGGGCTTTTCTACCTGTAGGATAGGCTTAATATTGAGAGTGAACTTTTTGCAAGTGAACTCCAACACACTAGTTTAATCTCTAAGAGGCTTAGTTTCCTCATCTATAAAATACCATAAGAAATAAGAAAACCCAGGAAACTAAAAAGGGCAGGCTTTGCCAGAGCTATTAATTCTTTTTTGGGTAGAAGTAAAACTCAAGAAATAAATGTCTCTCTATCATTTCTAGACTTTTTTAGAGAGATCCATGAGGAAGGTCCCCTCCAAGTTTTGTCCAACCATCACACTGGTCAAAAAGGTATCCAGCCTCCCCCAAGCTCAGCCTGTGACCAAGAACCACACTGATCTATTAGGATGGCCTTGAGCTCTTTCATCAGCCCTCATGTGTTCAGAAGGTTAGAGCTAACTTTCCAGACCCTCATTATATGGTGAAAGTGCGGATGGGGACAATCTCAACCAGATCTCCATGCCTATTTGGAAATAGAGGTAGTTTTGCAGGGTGGCCTGTGTTCTCCAAATGCAGAGCCATATGGGGCCTTGCTTCTTTATGGGAGATGCAAAACCTAGGCCCTAATGAACAGAAATAGTGTTTGAGCCCACAAACTAGCATTAAGTTGTTCTAATGTTAATTTCCAGCTTTGTCACTTGCTGTGTGGGACCTTACTATCTCCAAAACCCAATTTTTTCAACTTTACAATGGAATTAAAGCAATCTAATTTTTCAAAATGGGGTTAACTTCCGCTGTAAATTACAGTATATTGGCCAATAATTGAACACTAAAGCTGGCATTTAACAGGAATTTAACTGTTTGCTAAGTATATACTTAAAAGCTTTTAAAACTGTAATTTACTGAGAAAACAAAGCTTTTTTTCTGGGTTAAGAATTTGAGAAAACAAGACCCAGAAGCAAACTAAAATCAAGTCCTAAAGTGGTACGAACCTCAAAAAGCTCATCAGGTTTGCCAATAAAGCTCCGCCTCCGTGCAAACCCTGCCCACTTCCGGCTTCCCCACCCACCTCCTAACACTGGAACACCGCCCCTCCCTGCGAGGTCCCGCCCCCTACACCTGATCCTGGTTCCCATTGGACGAATGTGGATGCTGTATACACACCGACACACGCACGTTAGGCTGGGGCGTCTTCGCGCCTGCGCAGCAGCGCTGTCAGGCGGCTGGAAACGGGGGGTTTGGGGGAGGGGGGCGGAGGTCATGCCGAATCTTCCTCCGTAATAAGAAGCGACGTGTCCCGCTGTCCTGGCTCCGTGGGTCCAGCGGGATTGGGCCTGGGCGCTGGGGCTGCCGGGGCTCCCACCACGGCGGGTAACATGGAGGCCGTGCCAGAGACCAGAACTCAGCCACGGGAGGCCGAGACAGCCGGCGGTGCTCGTAGATGAGGCGGCGGCGGCGGCGGTGGCAGCAGCCCGGGCTCTCCATGAGCAAGCGGCGGCGGCGACGGGTGCGGCGGCACCGGCGGTTTTCGGTCCCCGGGGAGGTACGAGGAGTTGGCTTCCTGGTGGACGGAGACTGGCCAGTGTGGGAACGCTCCGCGGCCGGACCCTCCAGCCCATTTGCCCGCAGTCCTGGGCACTCGGCGGGACACTGCCCTGACAGAGGCGGGGGCGCCGAGACGACTCGCGGGCCCCTGACTCGGGTACCAGTCCGCCTCAAGTGCCAGGCCTTCCGGGCGCGGCCGCCCAGGGCCAGGGTGGGCGTGGCTGGAGCGTGGGGGCTCCCCGGGGGCGCACACTTCGCGCCCGCCTGGTCCCAGTCCCGAAGCCCCGCGCTGCTGGGAACGGGACCGCGTGGCTGTTCTTTAGAGATGTATTTCGGGCGCTGATTTGAGGGGATCTTTGGAACCCATGAGTCCTTAGGGAGTCCGGCGTTCAATGCCTTGGGCAAGTGGTGGGGTCCTCACGGCCAGCTTGGGGTATCGATTGCCTCCGTTAGAAGTCACCAAGAAAGAAAGATGTTTGCCAGAGAAATAGAGGTCAGTTTTCCAAGTTTATTCAAATTGGAGGGCCTATTGAGTCTGGAAAATAAAGCCACTGGAATAATCCTCTAGTCCTTCCAATACAGATCCTAGCTAAACAGCAAAGACAATTTTAAGTAAAGCTCGTTACAGCTATCTTTCCATTATTTCTCCCCACCCGACCCCCATTTTTATTGCAATTGACTTTGGAACAAATCACCAAGTTCATGCTGAAACTAGTATCCTCTAGTTCTTCCAAATTTTCCCTCCTCCTGTTTTTCCCAGAGAAAGACTAAAGTAGGTTGCCATATATATCATTATAGTTTAATTCTCTTAGAGTGTGACTATTGCTTTACAGAGCTAGTTACACTTCATTTGGTCATGTCTAAAGATAATTTGAAGAAAATATCTTAGAGATTTATGCTTCCTTTCCAATGCAATATTTTAGGAATCTGACCTTAGGCTCTTAAATCAATCTTAAACCTTGTTACAGAGTTCTTTAAAAGTTAATGGAAATAAACCATAAAGTTATTTTCGTTTTTAAAGTATTTGAATGCCTAATCGTTTTTTGTTTTTTAATTTTTGTTAGCAAAACGTGTCAGTTTCTGTTAAGAAACTGAGTTTCTGTTTTCCTAGGTTACAGATTTGCCACACCCTCTTATTCCTAAGTAGTTGACTAAAATCAGCGTGTTGGCCAAGTAGATATAAACATCCACACTTCATACTAAATATAGTTACTGGATATTTTAGAGTGCACAGTATCTTACTTCAAGCTGAAAACGGTGTGTTCATGTGTGTTTAATATATTGCAGAAGTGAAATTATACTCGTGTTGCAGAATGTTTTGGACTTAGTTTCTTTACACAAATAAAAGACATAGGACTGCAGCATTACTATTTTTTTAATTGCGTTTTAGGTTTTGGGGTACATGTGAAGAACATGCAAGATTGTTGCATAGGTACACACATGGCAGCGTGATTTGCTGCCTTGCTCCCCTTCCCTATATCTGGCATTTCTCCACATGCTCTCTCTCCCCAACTCCCAACCCCCTGACTGTCCCTCCCCTATTTCCCCCCAACAGACCCCAGTGTGTGATGCTCCCCTGTGTTCTCATTGTTCAACACCTGCCTATGAGTGAGAACATGCGGTGTTTTTCTGTTTTTGTGTCAGTTTGCTGAGAATGATGGTTTCCAGGTTCATCCGTGTCACCCTACAAAGGACAGGAAGTCATCGTTTTTGATGGCTGTATAATATTCCATGGTGTATATGTGCCACGTTTTCCCTGTCCAGTCTGTCACCGATGGGCATTTGGGTTGGTTCCAGGTCTTTGCTATTGTAAACAGTGCTGCAGTGAACATTCGTGTGCATGTAGGACTGCAGCATTATTAAGGGTTGAGTTCATGTTGTGTTTGGGAGGATGCAGGACTTGAAAAGATGGTCAAAACAAGACGCTGATCTCAATCACTCATTTCTCTGTTTGCCTTCCTCAGATGTGTTTTTTCATAACATAACTTCTCTATAAAAGTAATGTTGGAAAACAATATGATGCTTTGAGTTTATTTGCTTGTCCCCAGTAAGGTGAAGCAATTTTTTCAATACAATTGCAAAAAGAAGTCATTTCTTTCAAAAATATGTGCGCTGTGTAACATATATATAACACAACATATTTATTAAAATACTCTCCTTGGCTTTAAAAACAAAGTGCCTAGGAGTCCTCAAGGTTGGGGGAAGAGTACCAGTTTCAAAAGGGAGGATGCTTTGGTTCATTCTCAAAACATGCATACGGAATAATCAGGATATTTATCAAGTTCTGAATCAGATAGTATAGTCTCTGTAGTTAAAAATTAGAGTATAAATTGCACAATTAACAGCACAATTCTGAGTTGCAAATAAAAATCCCAAAGTGAATAGCAATATTAGCTATGCTACTATTCACTTAAGATTTCATGATTACTCCTCACGCTGTCTTTCGAAGGTAAACGTCAGAATTAGTCTTAGCCTATATAGCAACAGGAGTTCTTTTTTCTTTTTTACACAGTTTTTCTATACAACATATAAAATATGTAGTATAGTTCATATAAAGGTTACAGAATGGCCATTATTCTGTACCCCCAATTAAGGATCCCATTATAGATTTCTTAATATGGAATCTTAATATGGAACCACCCATATTAACAAGAAAATGAAGCACACCCTGTATTTTGGAAGAAGGAGGAGGTTTACATCAGGAATATGTCTAACCAAATTCAGTTTATATTTTTAGTATGTTTATTTTCATTTAGGATTTTTTCATTACAGGGTTTTCCTCTATCACAGATAAAATCTGCGATGTAATTAATATAAAGCCTATGAAATGGCCACCTGTGTCTCAAAAAAGTCTGCAATTTCCTAAATGGCCTTTCCAGAAAGCATGCATAGTGCCTGAAAAGTGGCTCATTTAAATTGTTTTGCTATGTTGAGAGGCCTAATAACCACATTTGATTTGAGTCTTTATATATATTTATTTTCATTTAAATATATTATGCTTCTAATATACAAAGTCACAAGTTTATGTGTTCTGTTTTAAACTTTAAAATGTAGGATGAAGACACTGTTTGAAGAGATCAAAGCATCAATTAAAAATAACTATAATCAAGATCGATCATTTTGGAGGCCTGTTCTTCCTTGGGGGGGTGTTTTTACTATAAAAGCTGGCCGCAAAGCAGTATCCTGTACACCACTCTATGTTGAAATAAGACTGAAAAACACCTGCACCATAGATGGATTCTTGATGTTATTATATGTCATTCTTAATGAAAATGAAAATTTCCCCAGAGAACTCTCTCTTCATTTTGGTAGAGAGTTTGTAGACTGTTTTCTTTATTTAATGGACACCTACAGTTTTACAACTGTGAAGCTACTTTGGATTTGGGACAAGATGGAAAAACAGCAATACAAATCTGAAGTTCATAAAGCTTCATTAATAATTGATTTGTTTGGGAATGAGCATGATAATTTTACAAAAAATCTTGAAAATCTCATGTCTACCATTCAAGAGAGTTACTGTTCCAACTGGCGATGCCCAACTCGAGTGCAGGAAGATCAGCAGCGCACAATTAATATAAAGTAAGTTGGTCTAACGGCTGTTTTGTCACTTTTACTTTTTTTAATGAATGTTGCTTTAGAAATGTAATTGTGTACCCCATAATGACATTTGGGCCAACAGAGGACCACATATGCCATGCTGTTTTGTAAGATACTGTATATTTATTATACCCTTCTGTGTTTAGGTACACAAAGACTTAGCATTTTGTTAAAATTGCCTACAATATTAAGTATAGTAACATGCTGTACAGATGTAACCTAGGAGCAATAGGCTTTAACATGTAGCCTAGGAGTGTAAAAGGTTATACCATCTAGGTTTATGTAAGCACACTCAGATGTTTACACACTATGAAATCATCTAAGGATAAGTTTCTCAAAATATGTCCCCATTGGATGACAAATGACAGTATTGCCAAAGTACTTGTTAAAGTACAGAGCCTCTGTAATTACTTAGGCATGAAGCAATCACACAAATGCAAGATTCTTCTGCAGGTCTCCTGAAAACAGTGTTGCAGCCTATTACCTCCAAACATCTTAGAATTACTTTACAAAACCAACTGATAACCTTGTCAGTAGCAAAGTAATGAATTACTTCATATGAAAAATATATTACTCTTGAGTTTACTAATATGACTATAGATGATTCTTAGTGTCACAAATTTAACCTCTTTAAGAGCACTTAATACTGTTTTGGAATGTTTCACCCTTTGAATAGGTCTCTGTCAAAAGGGCTAGTTCCACGTGAATAAGAAAATTAAAAGTATTCTTTCTTATCATGGCCAAGACATACTTATAGACAGAAAACTAGAACTTGGCATCTCACATGTAGATGTGGATGTAAGCAGCTTTTATTTTGACTAGGAAAGGTGCAAAGACCCAGATGAGTGTTTCTGGCTTTCAAAGAAAAGGCAGATCTCCAGCTCAGTAAATGATAGGGACAGAATCCAAACTGGCAAGCCTTAGTGGAGTGTTGGGAAACATTAAAACCTCCAAGGGACGTGAGCTGGAAAGGGGATAATTGCCAGTGGAAGAAAAACAGACCCAAACACATTGTTGGCAGAAAGGTATCTGGCCCCATGGTCCAGAAAAACAGCCTGGTAGATTGTTCCCATTTGGAAATGTACATTACATACCCTAATTCGTTAAACTCACATTTCTCTGAAATATACTTTGTCTATTTTCCTGTATTGCTAATTTGAAATATCTATCAGTGGGAATGACTTTCAAGTCATAGAGACAACTCAGAAATGTTGCAATGATCACAGCTCACTGCAGCCTTGAACTCCTGAGCTCAGGTGATCCTCCTACCTCATACCTCACCGCCTCAGCCTTTCCGGTAGCTGGGACCTCAAACGTATGCCACCATGCCCAGCTAACTTATTTTTTTGTTTTTTGAGACAGAGTCTCACTCCGTCTCCCAGGCTGAAGTGTAGTGATGTGTTCACGGATCACTGCAATATCGACTTCCTGGGTTCAAGTGATCCTCCTGCCTCAGCACTCCCAAGTAGATGGGACTAGAGGCATGCACCACCATGGCCAGCTAATTTTTGTGTTTTTTGTAGAGATGGGGTCTTGCTTTGTTGCCCAGGTCGGTCTCGAACTCCTGATTCACCTGCCTCACCTTCGCAAAGTACTGGGATTATAGGTGTAAGCCTCCACACCCATCCTAATACCTTAACTCGTTTCTTTTCATCTGTAAATGTTTTGAAACTATAATGAAATATTTATAATTCTATATTTTATACCATTTAATAAAATATTTTTCATCATACTGTATAACTTTTTAATTTCTGCCTACTTTTTAAAATCCTATATTTAAAACAACCTCTGAAGTAATGTAGGAAAAAAAATATTTTAACAGATCAGGTACCTGAGGCCAAGAATGATTATTACTTACATTTAGTCAGCTGCTCTCCTGATTCTGGGTCCTAGTTCCTTCCACCAGACCAGATTGCCTCGTTTGAATCCTCTCACAAATGTTTTAGATTAACATAACAGCAACTGGATATATCGGGATTGTTTATACAAGAATGTTTCTTTGAAAATTTCATACATTAGTGTTTATTGAGTTCAACTGATTTCTATACTGTCTGGAAGAAATTCCAAAATGTATAATAGAGGCTGTACTTGGGATAATTGGTTTTGCTAATAATGGATTGAGCTGTAAAATGTGTTATAATAATATATTAAGATGTAAAATGTTGAAGCAGCTCTTACATGCATTTCATAATTGTTTAGTCCTCCTCAAGAAATTCCACATGGAAACTTGATAAGACTGGCTGTGGATGAGTTATTCTGTTCCAAGATTGAACTGTGTGAAGAGCACGGGTGAGTGTATGACAAGACGTTTAAAATGACAGTATGTATGTGTTTATAAGGAAACCTGGGCAGATGTGCTCCTTGAAGTACTTTATGGATCTTATTAACAAATCTAGTTTACTGTGACATTTTATAGTGTTTTTATTATGGAGTATCACTACATAGAATATGGTACTACCACTGACTGATGAATACAAAGCAAATGCCTTTTCTTTTTTTTTCCTTACTGCTGAGTAGGTACAATAAAACCTTGGTTAACCGGAACCCAGCTAATCGGGACCCTCAGTTATCTGGATTTTTTTCTGCACTCCTCATTTAGGAGAAAGAGGTAAATGACAACTAAAAAACTTAACTTAGTAAAAAAAGAGTTCAGAGAAGCAGAGCATATTCATCCCAATCTCTTAACAATTTCTGTGAGTACATTATTGTATAATGAGAATTGATATTTAAAAGGATGATCTTATAGCTAGTTAATTACAAAAGAAGATGAAATTATGTTCTGTTAATTGTACCTATTAAGTCCAGAAAGTGAACTAATATATTGTAGCAACAAATACTGAAACAGACGGTTTTCTGGTTAATTTGGTTTAGTTAATAATGTCTGTTAACCAGAATACTGTACCCTGAGCATTCCGGTTAATCAAGATTTTATTGTATAATTGAATTTGCTATATTCTGATCCATCTACATAATACCTCAGAATATGAGGAAACAAAATTTGTTCATGCTTATAAAAGAGTCTAATGACGGGGAAGTGGGCGGAGGGGGGGGGAAGAGTCTAACGACAAAAGGAAGCAATTAGAGTCATATTATTTACCCTCTCTGCCATTATTGAAACCAGCATATAGAGAGAAATATAAAGCATTCCTATCAGTTCTGTAGAGTTACACTTTCATAAACTTATATAGAAATAGCTAGCATTTCCTGGAGTTTTAATATATCATTTCTAGTATAAGGAACACAGCTTATAAACTTTCAGAGCTATTAGGTGATAGAAGGCACTAATATAGCCATACCATTACCTATACCTATAATAGATAATTATAAGAAAATTAAAGTCATAAAGACAACTCAGAAGTGTTGAAAGGCAACTTTGTCCCAAGTATAATAATGTTCATGCCTGTTCTCTATTTTAGGTGTGGTGGCTTAAGAGAATTTTCCCAACGAATTTTCTGCCATGGGGCACCCCCTTTTGTTGTCTTAAATATGCAGCATTGGAAATCTGAAGATCTGGCTTATGTACCCTATTACTTGGATTTGTCTGATCACAAGTAGGTTTTTTTTGTTGTTTCTTTATAAAACTAATAAAAAAATTTATCCTATTATGATTATTCTAGATAATTATGATTATTCTAGATGATCATTATAGGATAAAAATTGATCCTGTTATGAAAATTTATTTCATTATTCTATTATAATTTTGGCTAGCCCTTAAGAGATGTTGTTGAGGCTGGGTATGGTTAGTCACACCTGTAATCAAAGCATTTTGGGATGCCGAGGTGGGCAGAGCACGAGGTCAGGAGCTCAAGACCAGCCTGACCAACATGGTGAAACCCCGACTCTACTAAAAATACATAAATTAGCCAGGTGGGGTGGTGCACACCTGTAGTCCCAGCTAATCAGGAGGCTGAGGCAGGGGAATTGCTTGAACCCATGAGGTGGAGGTTGTGGTGAGCTGAGAATGCACCATTGCAATCCAGCCTAAGCAACAAGAACAAAACTCCATCTCAAAAAAAATATATATATATATCTGTATATATGTATATATATAGTTGAAAACAATCATATCTGTCTCTAAATTTACGTATTCTGAATAGAATCAGAATCTATTACAGGGAGTCAGTTACTAGCAGTGCACATAGTGGGCAGGTATGTAGACTATAGAATAGACAGAATTGGGTTCAAATCCTAGCCCCATCTTTTATAAGTTAACCTTGGGCCAGCAGCTTAACCAGTCTACATGTCATTTTTCTTATCTATAAAACAGAGATGATGGTATCAACCTAGTGCAATTATTATAAAGATTTCATACATACTAAGTGTTGAAGATAGTGCCTGATACGTAATACTGGATAGTATAATAATACCACAGTATTTTGTTCCTGATACATACTGGCTAAAAGTTGTATTTAAAGTCAAAGAAGTGTGTAGTAGCATGCAGGTGGTCATCATTTAAACATAAAATGTTACTTGTCAATATAAATAAAAATATCTGCATACATATCAGGAAATAAGGTTTCTTTTCACATTTTCCCTTTAAAAGTTTTCTTATATATATGTTTACTCTTTTTTTAAAAAAACGTGCAGGTTGTAAGTTCGTCTGTTAAAATATGTTTTAAAAAAATTCTGGCCGGGCATGGTGGCTCACACCTGTAATCCCAGCACTTTGGAAGGCTGAGGCGGGCAGATCATGAAGTCAGGAGATTGAGATCATCCTGATCAACATGGTGAAACCGCGTCTCCACTAAAAATACAAAAAATTAGCCAGGCATGGTGACACACGCCTGTAGTCCCAGCTACTTGGGAGGCTGAGGCAGGAGAATCACTTGAACCAGGGAGACAGAGGTTGCAGTGAGCCAAGATGGCACCACTACACTCCAGGCTGGGCGATAGAGTGAGACTCTGTCTCAAAAAAAACACAAAAATTCTTAATTTACACATTTCCAATTATATTACATGATTTATAGAGACGGATATCTTTTTCAGGTAACAGAATACAATGTCAATTTTATTCCTTAGTTAAGAATTTAAGGAATGTTTATCTTAAAAACAAAGTATTATAACTTTCTCCTATACTATGTTATTTAATTTGCAGGTATTTATTGGAAGGTGCCACATTATTTAACAAAGAGGAACATCATTATTCTGCAGCTTTCCAGATTGATGGACATTGGATGCACTATGATGGGCTCAGAAATGTGAATTTAATTTTGTTGAATAAACCCCCAGAGTTTCTTCTCTTGTCATCATTGGTTTATATTCGAGCAACAGAGAAATAAATATAGACTGATGCTAAAAGTTGTTTTCCCTCCTGCCCATGCTCCCCCAGATGAAGGGCTTATTTTGTGTATTCTTGGTATCCAAGGAAACAGTTCAACTATACTAGTTTCAGAGGTGTATTTTCAGTGTTTAACCCCAGGTAAATGTTTTATATAGAGGATCTATGCAAAAATGTTTGTATTTCTTTTTTTTTATATTTCCTGAGTTATTTTTATATGAGCATATTTTATGTTGAAATAAAATATATCTTGTGGCCTTTGTATTTTTTATTTATATGTACCTTAAAGACTTTTACAATTCTGTCCTTGAATTCAAGAAATATTTTGTCATCTGTATTCGAAGTTTTTCTTTTTGGATATCCAAGTAAAACCTAGGTAAAAGTCAGTATTTCAGTTTATATAATTTAATAGTTCAAAATATAGCTAACTATATTTCTTTGCCCTACCTCACTATAATCCAAAGTGCACTATTTGATCTAGTATGGATTTGAATGTACAGTTTACGGATGGCTTAGTTTATTAATTTGATTTGCCCAATATCCCTGCAGCAATTTTTTAAAAATATGAGAAATTTTTTTGAGCTTAACCTGTTTCTTTATAATGGCAAATTACTTTAACTACTTCCTAAAGTATTATAAACCTACCAGTGGATTTTAAGTGATAGCTAAGTTTCCAAGATTAATTCAAGTTATTACAAACAGATTATATAACTATCCTAAATGTTTATCTTAAATGTAATTTGAAATGCTGTAATATATTTTGCAGATAAAACAACTGTAAACGGTATTAGGCAACTGGATGTTCACTAGTGTTGGACTAACAATAGAAATGCACTTTAAATATATATTTAAGAGGAAATGGGTACCTGGAAGTAGTTCTTTTCCTAGTGAAGTTTTATATTGACACAGAGAAAAGAATACTTAAATTTTTGGAGTGATGTCTGCTGGCTTCCTTATAAGTAGTGATTAATAGCATGAAGCTTTGATTTGTAATACAAATCATTAGGATTTTATAGTTATGAGTACATTATGTTTCTTTATAAAGACCTTAAGATCACTCTTCTTTTTACAACTTAAGGGAAAAATAAAGATTTTTAAGGGAAAATACTTTTTGAAATTTATCACCACTTAGTGTTTACATTTTGAGATTAGTTGCAATATATTTGGAAACTTCTACATGACAGCACAGATCACTGCCATCTGCTGAATTGCTAAAGCGCTTGGTGCCATGTTTAGAAAACTTACCCAAGAATGAATGAATATGGGTGAAACATTACTGAGAATGCCTCACTTTAGCAAATACTATGAGAATTATTTTTTATATATCAAATATATTTACAGAAAGAATTATTTTACCCCAAGATTTATTTAAATAGTTTCCCAAGTGTAACTGAATAGGATTTAATTTAGAGTAAACTTTTCTGGGGACACCTGATTGCATGAATTGAAGTATACAAAAACACAAATATTAGAGTAAGCATAAATGGTGTTATTAACGATTTCTAATGCAGATTTATTCTTTTTGGAATTGCACTTTATTTGAAATACCAGTTTATCATGAAACAATGACTTACCTACCTCACAGGGTTGTTGTGAGGATTAATATGTTTGTTAAAATCTTGACTACCTTGAACATGCTAATAAACATTTTTCTACCTCCTTTATTTGCAGGCAAGACTCCCAGATTTTTTCTTACTATGAACTTTGCAGATTTTTAAAAATTATTTAGGCTGTAGCTCATATCACTAATTAGCGTGTAATGGAAATTGAGTATGCCTTCTTAACCCCATGCTGGGGTTAAGGAGAACAGATAGTTTATTTTTATGGTAGCCATTAGTTGATAGAAATAAGAAATCATCCCCTGCTGACCAAACAGTGAATAAAAAAAGAGTCAAAAAGAATTAACTAGATTATCTACTGACTGTGAAGGTAAAGGTATGGAAAATTCTTTGTAATTCTATAAACACCCTTAGGAAAATCAGAATAAGCTACTGGTGGGGGAGGAGCTAAAGATATGAGAGAATAGTTAGAATATATATACACATATTTTTGAGACGGAGTCTCTGTCACCTAGGCTGGAGTGCAGTGGTTCAATCTTGGCTAACTGCAGCCTCTGCCTCCCGGATTCAAGCAATTCTCCCACCTCAGCCTCCTGAGTAGCCTGTATTACAGGTCCACAGCCACGACGGCTGGCTAATTTTTGTATTTTGAGTAGAGAAGGGGTTTCACCATGTTGGGTAGCCTGGTCTGGAACTCCTGATCTTAGGTGATCCACCCACCTAGGCTTCCCAAAGTGCTGGTATTACAGGCGTGAGCCACCCTGCCCAGTCCTAGGATATATTTTTAATCAAAATACCACAAACTACTACTATACCTTAAAAATAATTTTAAAACCTTTTCTACAATCTGGCATAAAGAACAAAGAACATTTAAGGAGTCTTCAACTAGCTTCTCTTCCGCAAAAGAAACCATTTCTTCTCTAATTTCTGCAAATAATTTTACTGAGATTATTCCTTCAAAGTAGTTTATAATAATTTATAAATTATTAGAGTTTGTTTAAACTCTCACTAGATCTAATCCAATGAAAGAGGAGGATAAAGAATAACTGACTACCACAGGCATGCTTACTAGGGTAAGTCCCATGTTCTATTTCTTTCCTAAAGTATGAGCAAATAACTATATAACCAGATGCCCACTATGACACATAAAAAGCTATCCATGGCAGGACACATGGCTCATGCCTATGATCTCAGCACTTTGGGAGGCTGAGGTGAGAGGATCACTGAATTCAGGAGTTCCCTGGGCAACACAGGGAGACCCTGTCTCTATTGAAAATACAATAATCAGTCAGGTGTGGTGGTGTTCATCTGTTGCCTATAGTGCCAGTTACTCAGGAAGCTGAGGTGGGAGGATAGCTTGAGCCTAAGAGGCGGAGGTTGCAGTGAGCAGAGATCACTGGAGCAGCCTGGGCAATGGAGCTAGACCTGTGTCCAAAATAAGGAAAAAATATATAACTACATGTTGAGCGTATGAAAAATTTAGTTTTATAATGATTCAGTGATGTTTAATTATTAGAAAATAACTGTAATGAGGGCCGGGCGCGGTGGCTCAAGCCTGTAATCCCAGCACTTTGGGAGGCCGAGGCGGGTGGATCACAAGGTCAAGAGATCGAGACCATCCTGGTCAACATGGTGAAACCCCGTCTCTACTAAAAATACAAAAAATTAGCTGGGCATGGTGGTGCGTGCCTGTAATCCCAGCGACTCAGGAGGCTGAGGCAGGAGAATTGCCTGAACCCAGGAGGCGGAGGTTGCGGTGAGCCGAGATCGCGCCATTGCACTCCAGCCTGGGTAACATGAGTGAAACTCCGTCTCAAAAAAAAGAAAATAACTGTAATGAACTATAAGGCAGAAAGGGTAAGAAGTTCATGTAAAATGACTAATTAATATTACTAAACTACAGCCAAAGCAAACATTTAAATTTTTAAATTTTTCTCATTTTCCTTTGTCGATGCCCTAGCATTTACAATCAGCATCAAATTCTTCTGCCTTAAATTGCATTGCTTTAAAAGTTCATCTTATTGCCAGGCGTGGTGGCTCACCCCTGTAATCCCAGCACTTTGGGAGGCCAAGGCAGGCAGATCACGAGGTCAGGAGTTCGAGACCAGCCTGGCCAACACGGTGAAATGCTGTCCCTCCTAAAAATACAAAAATTACTGGTGGCAGGCACCTGTAATCCCAGCAACTCGAAGGCTAAGGCAGGAGAATCACTTGAACCCTGGAGGCAGAGGTTGCAGTGAGCCAAGATCGTACCACTGCACTCCAGCCAGGGTGACAGAGCAAGACTCCATTTAAAAAAAAAAAAAAAAGTTTATCTTATTGAGACATTTATACAAAGGTCTTAAATTCAGTGTCCTACATCCTACCTTACTGGCCCAAGCTTCACTCTCTGGTCACCTGGACAGCCTCCTTGCTGCGGTTTGAATGATGGTGTCCCTTTCAAAATTTACATTGAAATTAATCCCTGTGGTGGTGGTACTGAGAGCTGGGGGTTTTTGCAAGGTGATTAAGTCATGAGGGCTTTGCCCTCATGAGTGAGATGAGTTGCCCTTATAAATGGAGGTTTTTTTTTTGAGACAGGGTTTCACTGTGTCACTCAGGCTGGAGTGCCATGGCACAATCATGGCTCACTGCAGCCTCAACCTGCTGGGCTTAAGTGATCCTCCCATCTCAACCTCCCAAGTTGCTGGGACTAGAGGCATGCACCACCACACCCGGCTAATTTTTTTGTAGAGACAGGGTCTCTCTATGTTTCCCAGGCTGGTGTCAAACTGAGCTCAAGCAATCCTCCTGCCTCAGCCTCCCAAAGTGCTGGGATTATAGACATGAGCCACTGCACCCAGTCAGAAATAAGCTTGAGAGACTGAATTTGGCCCTGTTGCTCTTCTGCCTCCTGCTATGTGATGATGCAGCAAGAAAGCCCACATCAGATGCTGGCACCTTCATCTTGATTTTTCCAACTTCTAGAACTGTAAGAAATAAATTTCTGCTCTCTATAAATTATGGAATCTCAGGTGTTTTGTTATAGCAGCACAAATGGACTAAGACACTCCTTTAACCTCAAATTTAATTTGATCCTGGGGAGAAAACAGCTTTTTACTCTATCCCTTGAAAGTTGAGGAGAAGGAAGTTAGTAAAAAGCCATTTGTAGCTAATTTATTTATATGCTGAGGCTGTCCATTAGCTTTACCCTCAAATGAGCAATCAGTTCCATAGTTCATCCACTGTTTTCTCAATAAGATCTTCTGCAAGGTATCAGAAGGAATATTGCTAAAAATGAAAAGGTGAGCTGCTTTGGCAGGAACCTCAAAAGGATATGGAAGGCAACAGGAGCTTTGAGAGCAAATTCACTGTCTAGACAAGTTAGCCATAGTAGAATCAGCAACTTGCTATTTATATACTTGGATGGATTTTCATTACTTGTTTTATCTTTGAATTTTATTTTATTTATTTATTTATTTATTTTTGAGATGGAATTTTGCTCTGTTGCCCAGGCTGGAGTGCAGTGGCATGATCTTGGCGCACTGCAACCTCCGCCTCCCGGGTTCAACCAATTCTCCTGCCTCAGCATCCTAAATAGCTGAGATTACAGGCATGCGCCACAATGCCTGGCTAATTTTTGTATTTTTCACAGAACAGGGTTTCACCATGTTGGCCAGGCTGGTCTCGAATCTTGACCTCAGGTGAGTCACCTGC